CCCCAAAACCCCAAAACCCCAAAACCCCAAAACCCCAAAACCCCGATAGCTTGAGTCAATGCAATAAAAAGGAAAAGAAATATTAATTCATAATTTAAATATTCCTACTCAGAAAGTATAATTTTAAATATGAGCGGTCTCGGTTGTTCTGCAATCTATTTCCTCGATTAAAAAGGAAAGATAATTATCTCTAGAGACTATAGAGGTGAGGTTGGATCTAATATCACTGAAAAATTTCAAAGGAAAGTGCTCGAATTAGATGATAGACTCGTCAAACCAGTATTCACAGAGAAAGATATCACATACATGTGGATAAGAGTTAACAATATATACATCGTTGCAGTTGCCAAGGGAAACCCTAACGTTGCTCTTGTATTTAGTTTCCTCTATAGAATGCAAGAGGTCTTTACTGACTATTTTAAGGAACTTGAGGATGAATCTTTGAGGGATAACTTCGTTATTACCTATGAGTTACTCGACGAGATGATGGATCATGGCTATCCTTAAATAACAGAGGTCAAAATTTTAAAAGAGTACATTAAAACTGAGGCAAATAAGATTGCAAAAGAGTAAAAGATTTCTCAGGCTAAATTATCAACTGCAGTTACAAATGTAGTTAGTTGGAGACCAGATGGAATTAAGCACCCCAAAAATGAGATATTTTTAGATGTCATTGAGAAGCTTAATCTACTCGTCTCAGCTAATGGCAATGTTTTAAGATCTGAAATTCTTGGTACTGTTAGAATGAAGAGTTTCCTAAGTGGGATGCCAGAGTTAAAACTTGGACTAAATGATAAGGTCCTTTTCGAAATGACAGGCAGAACCTCAAGAGGTAAACTTATAGAATTAGAAGACATAAAGTTCCATCAATGTGTGAGATTAAATAAGTTTGAAACAGAGAGAAATATTTCATTTATCCCACCTGATGGAGAATTCGAGCTTATGACTTATAGACTTGATACCCAAGTTAAGCCACTTATATGGGTAGAATGTATCGTTGAAAGTTTCTCCAGATCGAAAATAGAATATTTGGTGAAAGCTAAGACTCAGTTTAAGTCAAAGTCTATTGCTAACAATGTCGAGATCTTTGTATCTGTCCCATCTGATGTAGATTCACCCGTCTTCAAATCGAATGTTGGTACTGTGAAATACGTTCCAGACCAGAACTGTATGGTTTGGTGTATCAAATAATTCTAAGGCAGAAAGGAATTCTTAATGAGAGCACAGTTTGGTTTCCCAAGTGTAGAAGCTGAGGAAAGACAAAAATACTCTAGAGTACCTATTCAAGTTAAATTTGAAATTCCATACTTCACTGTAAGCGGAATATAGGTAAGATATCTTAAGATTGTAGAGAAGAGTGGGTATCAAGCATTACCCTGGGTAAGATATATTACTCAAAATGGTGATTACTAGATTAGAATGAATTGATAATTTTAACTCTAATAAGTTCGTTTTTCTAATTAAAGCTGGCTTCAATAATTTTCAATTTTATAAATTTGTTAAATTCACTCCTCATGGGGTTTTGGGGTTTTGGGGTTTTGGGG